ACACATGGTAGAATCTTCTTACCCAGCCAATGCATTAGGCTTTGCCAAGAATCAGTAAAAGGTATACCAGTTATAGAACAAAGCTACTGCCATATTGTTTACACCTAAAATAAACCAATGAGAGAAAGCTACGTGTCAAGGTGAAGCCCAAGATAACCATCAAACAACTGCCAGACATACAATTCCACTACCAGATCATGGAGGAACAGTATTGAAAATCATGGAGGAAGTTCCCAGCACCAAAGAAAATAAAAACAAAGAGAAGAGAACAGTTTCAGGAGAGCTGCCCAACACACATACACTGCTCAGAGCATATTTTTCAGCTTTCAGACTACATTTTCCAGATTTCAGCAATAGTTTCCAGATTTTCCAGATTAGTTCATAGCCTTAGCCTAAGTTTGTTCATCTTTGTTCATATTTTCTTCCGCAAATTCCAATTTAAATTAATTTTTAAGCATTTGGAAGCAACTTAACCTTCAAAACAGGTCTGCCCTTTTGATTCGGTTAGTTCTTTTTCCTTTTATGGATTTAGTTATGTTATTTGTTTATGTAAATAGGTTGAACGTTTTCTACCTTTGTTCTTTTGTCTCTGCACAATATCCAGACATTCAGTTCACTTAATTTCAATTTCCAGATTTAATTTTATAAATTCCTAGTTCTAGACTTCAATTAATTTATAGTTATTTCTTGTAGTTTTAACAATCGAGTTGTTTAGTTATTGTTATTTTAATTCTGCCAGTAATTAGTTTAATCATTATGGGTTGCGTACTTGAAATCATTGTCTGTTATTTTACTTTTTCTGTTGTCTGCGAATTTAATCTTTATGACATGTTATTTTCTGTTATTTACTCCATGTTAGTTTAATTGCCTTAGGATATTGCATTTATTTTAGGATTTGTAGCTTTAATTACACTTGTTTGGTTGTGAAGTCCTTGAAGGTTTCCAAGGCAATTAGTAACCCATTTTGCAGAACTCTACCCTCTGTTTTGCAATATGTTTGGGGCGCAATTCATTTCACAGACGTTTTTTCCAGCCATCCTATTGAAGGTCGACCGTTGGAAAAGAGAAGGGTCGTCTGAAAAATCTAGTTTTCTTGTTTTTAAACAAAGCAAGTGACACGCCTAATAACCAAACTCACGTGGTAAAAATCGACTGAGGATTTTTGAGGAAACACATATATTACTGGTAAAATTGCACTTAAAAAATAAGTGTTCATTTGTCTCTGAACTACTATTGCACAAGATGCAAATTTCAGCAATTGTAGGCGTCCATTGCTTTTGCCTAGCTCTTGTGGTTACGCGGTTGAGAATGGCTAGCCAACTAATAAAGCTATGCTTAGGAATAGCTAGGTGTTGGAAGTATGTAAATGTTTCAAATAAAAATTGGCGTATTGATTTGCACACATTGACACAAAAAGTACAGATCCTTGGAAATTTGTAAATGGTTCATTTTCAGTACCAGAATGGCTATCCTATAAGTAAATTCCGAACTTGAGCCACGGATCAAAGTAACTCAATAAATTTATTCATTCTCAGATCTAAGCCATGTTGTCTATAAAACCAGAACTACTTGCAAAGAAGAAAATTTGCTCATGGCTCAAAGGTCATGTTTTCGGCTTCTTTCCTGACCGATTCAAAGAGCACTGACGACAGATACCTTTCTACAAAGCTTGGGAAAATCACCTGCAGATATTCATGAATGGAACTGATTTTAGTGTGATGCAAATTTTGAATAAATGAATGAAAGATACTCCATGCTCTTCTTGATACAAAAACTCCACAGGTATAGATATGTATTATCCCATTGATTATTGCTTCAAATGGATCCTATTCTATTGTCCTCCATATTGCTCAATCAATCTAATCAGTCACTCCAACTTAAAAAACACTTCAAATTAGAAGTAACGTGCTCATGGTTTTTAGATAAGGCAAACAAGGTTAATTTTCAAGGTTAGTTAGACAAGGGCCCTCCCTCCTAACAATGTATATAAGGCAAGCAAGGATGATTTCCAAGGTTATGCTCATGCTCATGGTTCAAATTTGGCTATATAGTATGCTCATGGTAGGTAAGGCAAGAATATTCAAAATAAGAACAAACACCTTAGCCTTCAAATGGATTCAAAAACTGGTCCAATAGAAAGTTTCATAAATCAAGAGCCGAGAAATAAAACTTACAACAATGAGTTTTCCAGCATTTTCAGGTCTCTTGGCAATTTTAATAGCAGCTGCTGCAGCAGCACCAGATGATATTCCCACCTGCAAAAGAAGCTTCTAAAGTCAGCATGACAGGAGGGCAGAGTACAACTGGATGACAGAAATTCAAATAAAATAGCAAAAGAGTATAGGTCTTAAATTCCAATCTCGGAGATTTGAAAGGTTGGGAACATACAAGCAAGCCTTCCTTCAGTGCAAGAAGCTTTGCAGTTTCAATTGCTTCATCACTTGATATATGCAAATTTAAAGAACTGGCAATTAAAAAAATAGGGAAATTTTGAGGCCATTACAATTTTACTAAAACTTTGTAAAATTAGCAAAACACTAAAATAACCAGCTAATCCTTTTAATATATATCATCATACCCATGAAGAAGACTTGTTCAGATAACAACAAAACAAAGTTAATCCAGAATTGGCTTTTAAAAGCATTGCGATAAATTAAATACACTTTGTCCTCACCTGAACAACTTCATCAATATATAAGACCAACTTCCAAAACACCAGGGATAAAACCAGCGCCAATTCCTTGGATCTTATGTGGACCTTCACATTAATACAATAGAATTGATTTAGTAATTTTGCAAACCAAAAGATTCTTAAACTCATAACAAATAAATAAATAGAGA